CCCCAAAACCCCAAAACCCCAAAACCCCATAAGGTTATAATTTAATTTATCTTAAACTCTTTATATATTTATTATGAAATTTATAAGAATTTCTTGATCATCAAAGGTACTTTATGATTTTGTTGAGTTTGTTAAGTAACTTTCTGAATTTACTATTTTCTAGTACCAAATCAAATATAACCTTTGAGAGATTTCTTCTTATTTTACTATTTTCATCTTAACTGTCATCTTTGATTGACTTAGCTTCCCTCATCACAGATCCAATCTGCTCAGAAAGAATTTAATAAGTCATCGGACTCTTTAAGAAATCTATATTTTTATTTACCAAGCACTGCTCAATGAGCTCAATGTCAAAGTTGTCTAGAGACTCTTTCAGACATTCAATCTCCTCAGTCAGCTTCTTTAGGAACTATTCATTCTACTTTAATTCCAAAATTTCCTGCCTCAGTTTATTGATGATCTATCGATACTATTCTGAACTAACGAATTATAGTTCACTTTGATTTTGCTTTTGATTGATATCTATAATAATATGTTAGTCTAATAATTTAATGGAACTTACAATAGTCAATGTCTTGATTCATTTTCTTGACAAATGATCCTTTTATCTTTGTGAAGTGCTCTTTCAGATTCTTTATAATTCTGAAAGAATGCCTCTATAACTCATCTTAGCTATTAATATAAAGGGCTACTCCATGAAGTTAAAAGCCATTCTCTAATACTTTATGAGATTTTTCGTATATCCTCATAAGTTCCTCTTTGATTACTATCACCGAAGATTATTAACTTTTTTACAAAATATTAATTGGCTCTTCTATGCTTTCTTTTGAAGGTTCAAGTTCTTATAAACCTCTTAGATTCTATAGTAGTCTGTCTAGAGTATAGTTGAAGTCTCCAATAAGATGGATCATATTCTGCTAGAACTTCTACTAGTCCTCAGCCAGAGAATCAATAAAGAGATTTGCATTTTAACTCTTCGTAAGATCTTTATTGAACAATTTATTCGATATTTCCTCTATCATGTAGGTCTGATAATCAAATAGCTCCTACAAATCTCTATCTGCTTTTCCAGCTTTGAGTGAGCTACTTTTCAAAACTTGAAGCACTTATGCTATCCTTCTTTTGAATTCAGCTTCTTGAAGTTATCTTTGGTAATCTTTTTATTCTTCAATCTCTTGCTACTACTTAATAGCTTAACTATGGTCTTCGATATAATCCTTGATAAGATATAGAAAGTCCTATGATATTTTGAAAAATTTATCAAAGGGATCTTAAGGTTAGTTATTATGATAAGATTACTGAGGATGGGAGTCTCTCATTAACTCCTTCATAAATTAATCACATTTACTGTGAACAGAAGTTACTTCAAAAGAGCTTTAACGCATCTGAGCAACAAGATCAAAAATTTGATCTTTTATAACAGAAAATGCTTGCATGATAAGGTCATTTCTTTGCTTTTCTAAGAACTACATCTATTAGATTGAATAGTCTTTCGAAACATTCTATTTGCTTTTGGTATTATAGGTTGTGAGCTAAGATATAGAATGCCCGTGCAAGGACTTCTTTACACTCTGCTGCTAATCCTAGATCTGCATGGATTCTCTTTGTGCCAGTTCTACCAACTTATTGATAGGAGACTTAAAATGTTAAAAGCAAATATAATCTTACTCGAAGAGGAGCATGCCTTTTTTCAAAAGATTAAGATGGTTAAGGACCTATATTAGTTCTATTCTGACTATTACTACGACTCCTATAATTTGATTGACCAGCAAAGACGCACTCTTAATCTCTGTACTAATCAAGATCTCTATCAATTGAGTCATCATATTCCAAAACTTTATCCAGTCTTTATTGATAGGTCTCTTTGAACCATTAAATTTAATGATTTAAGTCTTCGTTCTCAGTTTCAAGTCTCTTTTAGTTTTCATATGCTTCTGTTGCCAGCCTATCATTATTTTTATCAGATTCCTCCTTCAATAGATTATTGACATCCTGAAGCTTATCCATTCTAACTTTTAGAGTACTCTACTCAATTTCAAACTTTTCCCTTTAGTCAGAGAGCTGTCTCTCAAGATCTTGAATCTTATAGGTTAATTGCTTATCTTGATGATCTATGTAATCGAGATTCAAAAGTATCTTGTCTAAGTCTTCCGTTATTTTTTCTTTGAATGAATAGGCATGAGAAGATGTCAAGTCATTGATCTTAAGTTTTTTCATTATTATACTAAATGCATACTATGTTTTTTCATTTTCTGAATCATGAGTGGTTTTATATAAAGTCTGCTTTTCTTTTAAGTCCATAAGTTCTCTTATAGCATTTTCATGATCAAATTTAAGTTGTCTTATTAAAAGCTGCTACTGATCCAGATCATTGATTAAAGATCTTTCTCTAGTTTTTAATTCTTCGTACTAATTAGTTTGCACTCTAAAGCTTTCAATGGTGTCAGAGATTATCTTGAATTGAGAGACAACTGATTCATACTTATTGCATTCGTATTTAGTAAAGGAGTATGAAGACTCTGCTTGTCTTTTGAATTTCTTTTGATTCTCAAATAACTCTTCTCTTTCCATTTTTAATGCTTTGATCATTCTCTGCTATTCAAGAGTAATCTATTTTATGGACCAGCATTTTTACTGCCATCTTAAAAGCTAAGTCTCTAGATCTTCCCCTCGCATCTGCCACATTTCAACTTCTCCTCTTATCTTGGCAAACTACTTATTTAACTCTTTTAGTTAATATTCTAATTTAGGTTGCTGCATAGAAGACAGATTCTGAATAAACGTTTTAACTTTGAATTCGCGTTCCCATGCCTTTTGAAGCTACTTTTTAAGCCAAAGAATTAGAGGTGTGACAGAGTTTCTAATATCTGCCTCAGGTAATTCTTCAATTATTTTCTCAGGGGATTAAAATCTTAACTTTTTTTATTTCTTTTCTTTAACACTCTCTTAAATCTAAACCCCACCAACATCACTCTTTTCATTAGGCAATTCATTACGCTTAACACTTTTTTTTCCTTTATTAGCTGTTGCTCCTCTTGACTAGGATCTATTTTCCTTATTTATCTTAGACATTTCCTTATCAATTAAAATTGCTTTTTTAAGGACATCATTGGACTTTTAATTTTTCTAATTATTTCCAGCTAAAGCATTGTTGATTCTTTGTGGCTGAGTTTGATTAAAAATGTATTCTCTGGCAGAAGCAAAAGGCAGTATCTCTTACTGAGCTTACTATTGTTAGATTATAGATCTAATCTGGTTCTTAGCTTAGTCTTAAACCATTTATATTTCTTACTACTTCTCCTTTAATTTTTGCTCGTAGTCCTCTTTAAGTTATTGCATCTGCTTTAAGATCTATATAGGGGTTAATTATCAATAATCATCCTTACAGATTTATGTTCAGAATCTAACTATATTAGCTATGTTTGGAAATCTACTAGCTAATGAGTCGCTTCATCGTGCTTAGACTCTTGCTTTGAAAAGTGGTCTGCCAGCACTTTATGCTCTATAAGTCGAATTATTAGAACAAGTATGTATACAGTTTTAAAGGCTCTGAAATTCCTGAGTGACCTCATATAACTTCTGTTTATCGCTGTTTATCATTTTTTAAGACTAGATCAATGCTTGATCATACAGTCTTTCCTTATCTTTGAGCTATTCAGTAAGCTTCTCTATTTGCTTTAACATGGTATTCTACTCATTGTTCTGCTTTTACTGCTGAAGATTTTCATTCTTGAGACTTCTTGATTATTGCTTGAGTGTTGATATCTATTCCTCGTAATTAAGCAATTGCTTTTGAGATTTCTCACACTAAGGGTTATATGATTTAATAATGATGCTATATACTTCCTGAGTAAGTTTCTTGATGATTACCTAAGCTTTTTCTAATGAATTGTCCTTTGCCAAAGTCATCTAATCCTTGTAGATTAATTCATCCTTTAGTCTATCCTATATATTAGTTATACTTAGGTATGTTTAATAGTTAGCTTGGTCTACTTACATTTTCTTCCTCTAGATCTTATATCCTAGAAAGTAAATTCTAATTGACAACCTCTAGATTCTAGTTTTCATCCTTGAGTATTTGATAAAGCTGAGGAGAGATTATGCTTTGAGAATAAGACATATTGAATTTAAATTTATGAATTATAACGAGGTCAATCGAATTTAAACAATTTTGCAATTTATCAATGAGATTAATTATTGCTTTAATGTTAATATTGCCACTAATTGTAATTAATAAGATAATAATAATTCAGAATTAATTGAATAATAATGGAGAGAAACAACCCTGATGAGATTCCTGAAGTAAGACCCTCCGACGTGGTTAAGGAAGGCTACCTTTTCAAGCAATCTAGATTTATCAAGGAATGGAGAAAGTAAGCTCATTTTCATTTGTTTTAACTCTCATTAATGCTAATCTAATAAATCTAATAGGAGATGGTTTGTGCTGACAAAGAATCACATACTGAGCTTCAAGGACGAGAAAGTATATAAAAACCCAACAGAGGTGATTCTGATAGCCTCGTGCAGCACAGTCAAGTCAGTCGAAGAGGAGATAAATAAACCAAATGCTTTTGTAAGCAAACACTTTTAATCATAGTAATTGTTTTTTAGAAACTAGAGGTAAATGGCAGAACTTATTACATGCAGGCTGAAAACTATGCTGAAAAAGAAGGATGGATTGGCGCTCTAGGCAAGGCGATGATTAAGAAATCAGTGTTAATTGACGACGGGGATGAGGATGCATATATGTGAAGTGAAAAGTAAATAGATCTAAATTATTATAATCAAGTTTAAGTATCACGAGTTATCAGCATAATCTTAATGCCTTAATTCTTAAATTTGAAAATATTGCAATCAAGTCAAATTTATCATATCAATAATCATTTCACTTTTAAGTCAGATTCCTAATAGCTTGGGGTTTTGGGGTTTTGGGGAGATCGGAAG